AGTGATTATCTCAATTTCAGCTAAAAGAATTGACAAAATCCTACACACTGTGCCTTTAATGTGATCATGTTATTCTGGTTGTGGAAAACTGACCTGATTGTTATCCTGATTTATTTCCACCTGGCTAGATGCTCATGTGTTGTTAAAAAATGTTGGTTAACAACAACATTTCTGTTAGAAACTTTGAAAGAGCTCAAAGTTATCGATGGAAAGTGCTGGAACACGGAGTGCAGTAACATCTCCAATGTTATTAAAATCTGGCTCAGGTTCATTCTGGGTGCTCAGAAAACACATTTGAACATTTGTTTATGTTCAACACTGAAGTAGAACTTCTTCTTCTGTAGTTTTGTAGAGAAAGTTTAAACTCTGCGCATTTCAGTACTTCTATTCTGAAGAAAAACCTGATGCATGTAAAYACTTTACATGATCAAATTAATGAATTCTGTGCCCATGTAAACCATACATTCAGATTGTTTAATACGTTTCACTGGTTTTTGCWCATGTAAACATAACTATTGACAGATTTTGTGATCAAAGCTGCATATTTTTATTTTTATTTTTCCTGTTCTCTGTGTAGTTTTAGCTAGTTTTACTCAACTATATAATGATAAAACTGCTCATTACGTGGCCTTGTGTTAACATGCTCAGCATATCCTTCATGAGTTTGACCCAAAACGGTGATTTTCCCTAATGGACAACCTTTGAGCCTCCACTTTCTGCTCCACCAAAAATCACTGAGTCAAACTGTAACWGAATGAGACATGTTTTAAAAACAGCAGAAGTAATCAACCTCTCTCTCTTTCTCTCAGTATTCAGAGTCGTTTGGAAATGAAAAAGAAATTGGGCTGTAAGCCGTTCAAGTGGTACCTGGAGAACGTCTACCCTGAGCTGAGGTAAGAACATGATCTAAGCCACAGTGTTACAATAAAATATTATAGAAAGATGAATAAATGGCTCACGGCTCTGCAGGAGGAACAGCTTCAAAGGTTACAGAAAGGTTGTGTTTCTTGGTGGTAAAATATAGAAACAGTTTTGCATCATTGTCTTGTTTATAATAAATTGTGTGGTTTTGCTTCTTTCTCAGCTTTTTGTTTGAAACCTTCTGCTGCTGCGTTTGTTTCTGTTCAGGGTCCCRGACCACCAGGACATCGCCTTTGGAGCCTTGCAGCAGGGGGGGAACTGTTTGGACACCCTGGGACATTTTGCTGACGGGGTGGTGGGCGTCTATGAATGTCACAACGCTGGGGGGAACCAGGTACTGTTTTCATGATGACATGTGCTCATCAGCTCAGGAACAAAGGAAGAGTTTAATAAAACAAATGAACGAGACTGAAGACAGTTTGTAAAGCTAAGTGTGAAAAAAATGTTCTAAAGTTTCTTCTTTAATTGTCAAAACCACATACTTTTATATATATTCTAGAAAATGATAATAAAATAATGCTGTGTTTGAGGTAAATACCTAACTCACATTTATTACAATGGAAAATAGCTCGTTTCCCAAAATGTCTGTTTTTAAAAACCTTTGTAGCTCAGGGGGCTTTATGGTCTCAGGCCCTCGTCTACAAAACATTGATTGAATTACAGAATGTGTTTATTTTATAATGTGTATTAGTTTGAGAGGGGTGTGTTTTACTTGGACTTTAAACGTTCACCGGTGTTCATCTGGCTGCAGTTTTCACAAAGTGCAGCTGCTCTAAAAGAAACTCTCAGATGTGGAGCGGAAAGCTGCCTCATGTGGAGTTAAAGAAGTTAAAGACCGTCAGCTGCACTTCCTGTTTACCGTTTATCAACTTGTGGCTTCTTGAGGGGCGATTACCTTAAGATTAAAAAAACAGCTCCACTGGATCTTTCTGGGGGGAAATTCTATTAAATTTATTGTTTTCCCTCATTTTTCTGGTGACTTGAAGATTTTTTGCCTTGATTTAAAAATTTTTTTTCTTTTAAACTCTGTTTTGGAGTAAAAACAAAAGAGTGGTGTTATTATCACTTTGTTGAGTAATTTGACATCTGTGTGTGGTTTTGTACAGGAATGGGCCCTGACCAAGGATAAGTCTGTTAAACACATGGACCTGTGTCTGACTGTGGTGGACAGAACTCCAGGATCTCTAATCAAACTACAAGGYTGTCGAGAGAACGACAGCAGACAGGTAACTGCTCTACTCCAGAATTTATTTATTTTTTTAAATTTGGCTTAAAATAAGCAAAAACAAAGTTTAAAGATATGACATTTTATTCAAGCATCACCAGATAAAGCGAATCTTGTGTTTTTTGTTTTGTTTTTCTTCCCAGAAATGGGAGCAGATCGAGTCCAACTCGAAGCTCCGACACGTCAGCAGCAACCTCTGCCTGGACAGCCGCAGCGCCAGGATGGGCGGACTCACCGTGGAGCTTTGCAGCCCGAACCTCAGCCAGCAGTGGAAGTTCACCCTCAATTTACAACCATAGTGGGCAGGTGTGTGTGTGTGGGTGGGGACGAACGCTGCAGACCCCCGGGGAGACTTCACAAACAGAACAACTCTGAGACGAGGATGAAAAGGTGAAAAGACTCGAGGAGAATAACAAACTTTATGGTCCTCATCTTCCGTAGAGGTGCAGCCTGTCAAGTGCACACCCGTCTCCCCCACTAACTAGTCCCGCCCTGAAATGTTGAGCCACGCCCACTTGGGGGAGGGGCTTATAGACCAGAATGGAGCATGACCGACTGCGAGGATAAAAACGACAAAGAGGCTTTTGTTTCAAGCTACATACCTCACTCAGTGTTTTGTCATCGACGGTTCCAGAGGTGAAATTATTATTTTTATTTTTTCTGTTCTTTAATTCTGGAGAAACAGAACTTCATTTTTTTGTGGGCAACCTTCTTTTTATTTTCTTGTTTTGTATTTTTAAATTCTTGCCGTTGAAACTCCCACAGAGGGTTGCAGGAGCTGGTTCGATCCTCTTGTTTTTTTATTTTAGATCAGGTTGAGGCTTTTCACTCTGGGGTTTTTGAGGCGTGGATTTGAGTTTTTCCTCTCTTTGGTTTACAGAACTGACAAAAACTGGAGGAAAAATGAAAAGAAGGATTCTTTGTTTCCTGTTCAGCTCTTTTACAGCAGATCTTGTCTTCAGGAGCGCCTTTTGATTGTTTTTTTTTATTTTTTATTTTGGAGTCTGTAAAGTGGAGTTCTGACAAATGGAGACGCTCTGGATCTCCGAGCGTCTGCAGGCTGTGGCACTGGCTGCTGCAGCGCCCCTACTTCTACAGTTTATAAAGAGATACACAGGAAAAATAAACTCATCAGTCTCTGCTCAGTGTACTTTTGTTAAAAATTGAACCAAATTTAAAAAAACATGTTTTAAGTTTAAGGAAAACCAGAGGAACAATTAAAATGTTTTTTCTTTACATCCTGTCACTTCTTTCTGCTGATTTATCCTTTTGTTTTTTTAGTCCATGCAGATCATTTCTTATCTGTCTCTGTTGCCATTTTAACAGCGTTTATTGTCGAATAATCGCATCGCAACTGGATTATTGCTGCATTTTTTACAGCTAGAAATTAGCTTCTGTCTGTTCAGTTAAACAAAATAGATAGTTAGATAATAGTTAAATAAGGAAATTCAGAACTATAAATGCTGCCCTGTCATGAAGTCTTTGTGTTTATGTCTCGGAGCATCAGAGTTGTGTATTTTCAGAGCGGTGTCTCTCGTCTGCGCTGTCGCACAAACTCGTCTTATTGTTTCGTGTGAAGCGGTTTCTGCTGCAGGTGAGCGGATTTGTCTTATATCAAGTTTTGTTTTGATTTTTGCTGATGAAAAATTTAAATAAGAAGTCTTTTTTTTTTTTGACGGAGCAACAACAGTGGCACTTTTTCATCCTACAGTCCGTTTACCTGATGCCTTTTTGTCACGTTTTATTTTATTTTATTAAATTTTTGTCCTGAGCTTCCTCTCATCATGTTGTGCTCTTCCACGCACTTTAGCCTTTTATGAGCAACAATGAAAAAGGTTGAAAGAAATTGGTTTTGATTTATTTTGAAGTGTTGACGTTAGAAGAAACAGGAAAGAAGCTGCAACTTTAAACTCTTAACATCTGTTTTTTTCCCATCTTTTTTTGTTTGTTTTTTAATGAACGGACAGCGACATCTCATTACTGTGTTGTCTGACACTTTTTAGTCTTGTTTCTGCTGTTCTTAGTTTTTTTTTTGTTTGTTTTTGTTTTTTGTTTTTGTCCTCATCTCATTCATTCTTCTGAGAAAGTTTACTGTAACTGCAGCCGTGGCACCCGACAGAAACTCGACCAACATCCAGATGTTTTGTTGCCTTTAAGACCAGATAGACACAAATCTGTGCTTCGGTTAGATTACTTTTATTATTATTATTTTATTTTGCAGTACTGGACTAGTTAGCCATTCTGTTGTGGGGGGGGCATAAACATTAAAAAGTGTCTTCATTTCTTATTAATGTTGCAATTTATTACATTTCGAATCTCCTTTGAAGGCAACTTTCAACTTTTAAGTGTTTGAAATTAAAACCTTTTGAGTATTAATGTTTAGTTTTTAATTTAGTTTGCTTTACACACACATTCACCCACAGTATCTAGTTAAAAATATATATATTTTCTTTATTAAACTGAATGATTTGACTCTGGCTGCAGTAGTTGTGTTAGTAACGCTGATCATTTCGTCTCATCCTAAAAATTCAGATAATTTATAGAGTACATTTTAAGTCTGTAATTTTATTGGTTATTAGTTCAAAATAATGTAATCTTTTGTTTTATTTTATTTACTCCTGCGAGGTTTCAAGTGTTGAACTGAGAATATTTCAGAGGTAATTTAAACCTGATGTTCACATGCTGCAGGTTCTGTGCTGACCCCAAAATTAATCAAATAAATCAGTATATTGATTAATTTCTGTTGGACAATAGCACCATCTGTTGCCACGCTTATAGAAACTTCAGTTGACTCACGATGAAAAAGATGTGAAAACATTGATTTAAAGCATTCATTTCCGTCTTAATCTCATTCTTTAAAGCTGCATCATCATAAACGCACATTTTATATTAAGTCTTATTTCCAGACCAGTTTTTTTATTCTCATGAGGGTGAAATATTTGCCAATTTTTTATGTTCTCCGCCGATAAAATGATAGACAATTGTAAAGTACAGCTCCTCGTTTTGATCGGACGATGAAATGTTTACATCTTTAGCACAATGTGCCAAAGTTTCTTCCTGCTTCCTGTTTGAGGAGAAGTGAGGAGAGGTGAAAGACTGTGGAGAACAAGCCTGATGATGTTTTACTTTGATTCAGTTTCGGTTCGACTTCTAAGAAAACACACAGACGGTTGTTTTATTTAATGTCAGCTGTTTAAAACCTGTTTTTCTTATTGAATGTTAGGTTTGTGTTAGAAGCCAAAAATGGTTTTTATTTCATTCTGAATGTCAGGGGAACGACGACAGCTCAGCCTGTTTGGAAACATTTTTGAGAAGTATCATTCAAACATAGAAGGCGTGTTAATAAATCTCACAATCAAGAAGTTTTACTAGTTTTTCTTTATATTTTTTACTTGTTTATGTCTTTTAGGGGAGACAATCGCATGTAGTTCCATTTAGTGGGATTTTTTTTTTCAGTCTTTGCTTCTAACAGGGTTCATCCATGATTTATTCTCAAACTGGGACCACTTTCTCTCTCAGAAAACCCTCTGTGACATGAAAAGCCCTGCGATGACATCCAGCTTTAGTTTTTTTTTTACCATCATAAACAGTTTGTGACTCTGACAACGTTCACATTAAAAAGGTTCATTTTCCACCAAAATCACATTTCTACAGAACGGTGGGCCGTGATCCAGTGCTGTAAGTTTGAATTCTGATGTTGGGYTACATGACTCCAAGTTTCGCACATGTAAAAGTGTATATTTTTGTATATACCTACATCAGTGTGTGTGTACAGTATGTACATATATACACAGTGTACTCAACTGCAGTTCCTAGTTTTGTTGTCAGACTGTACAGTGCTTCTAACTGTTCCCTGTTTTATAGATTCTGCAGAAATTCAACTTTGAATGAGGAGAAATGATTAACTTAAATAAAARGCCTTTATATAAAAGTGAAATGGTGTGAAGTGTTTTGGTCTGACTCATCATGCTCTGAAATATACAACAAATTGATGTTTTTGTATTTAAAATATACAATGCATATATACACTGTACAGTGCTTCTAACTGTTCCCTGTTTTATAGATTCTGCAGAAATTCAACTTTGAATGAGGAGAAATGATTAACTTAAATAAAAGGCCTTTATATAAAAGTGAAATGGTGTGAAGTGTTTTGGTCTGACTCATCATGCTCTGAAATATACAACAAATTTATGTTTTTGTATTTATAATATGCAATGCATTTATAGACGTTCAGTGGATTTTTAAACATGGGCACAGGTAAACTCAAGGGTGCAGTATGCATTATTTAAGTAGATGTATAGATAGGGTTTAAAAATACATCTGTAGAAATCATTGCATCAAATGAAGCTTTTTCCTCAAAAGTGTAAAAGTTAATGTCATGTAAAAAGAAAAAAAGACATTAAGGACCAAAGCTTAGGCCATGAATGGTATATTTTTACTTCTCATCCAACCACATTTAAACTCACTCTACCCAGGAGGCACCATAAAACTGGATAGATATGATGACGAGCCAAAATGTAAGGAATAGAAAGTACAGAAAATTGTGTGAAAATGTAGAAGTAAGTAGGTAAAAATTTGGCTGAAAAAAATAATTCTGCCAATGAAGTACAAATAACCAAACTTTAAGTTTTATATGCTTTATCTGTTCTTGGCTACTTGACACCTCTGAGTAAATTGAATAAAATACTAATA